TGTACAAATTTCATATTGGATGAAAAGCATACATGAATCTTTAAATCAGCAAATCAAAGTCCCATTATGATTACATATTTTTTGTTTCTGAGAACTGAGGTGGGGCTGAGTACAATGACTCAGGCTAGTAACCCTAACAATTTGGGAGGCTGAGGCAGGAGGATCACTTAAGCCCAGGAGTTTGAGATCAACCTGGGCAACATGGCAAGACCCCATCTCTAAAAAATAACTTTTTAGAAAAGTTAGCTGGGCATGGTGGTGTGCACCTGTTGTGGTTCCAGATACTCAGGAGTCTGAGGCAGGAAAATAGCTTTAGCCCAGAAGGTTGAGGTTGAAGCGAGATGTGATTGTGCCACTACACTTCAGCCTGGCAGCCTGGGCGAGACCCTGTCTCTGGAAAAAAAAAAAAAAGAAACGGAGGCCAGGGAGTAGTAAGAAACTAACTCATTCTCCAGATTTACTCCCTTTTTCTTGATTATAATGAATTCATGATACTTGAGGATATGTCAAACTGATCTTCAGACAATAAAAAACTTGTTCAGAGACTAAAATAAAATACTTTTCAGAAAAGGTTACAGACAGTGGTATACTCTACTTAATGTTTGGTCATCCACGATTACATAGGCTAAAGGTAGGAAAAGATTAACTTTTAATGTCTTCTAAGTTAGGACTATTGTGATTGTCTGGCAATGTGCTGAATACATTATACCCTTCCAAATCTGGAAGAGTCAAGAGAAATGATAGTTATCATTCTGTAAGTCCTTAGGAATATGCCTAGAGATCCAATTTCATATGTGTGGGAAAAAAGGTATATGTTTTTTTCTACCTGTTGGACCCAGGTAAACATATTATGATCAACTGTCATATTTATGTAAAATAATGTATGAAATTCCTATAATTTATGGAAGGCCAACTCCTACTAAAGTTTTCAGTCATAAGCTGCTTCAAGTCCTTTTAGGAGTGTAAAGATGGTCATAAATAAAATTTGTCACACAGCAGTAAACACAGTGGTTTATATGCATTAAGAATCTTTAATATTCACAAAATTCCAGAAGGTAGGTGCTATTACCATCAAAATTAAGGTGCAGAGAAGGATACTAATGCATAGAAAGATTAAATGACCTGCCTTACAGCCCCACAGCTGGTATATAGTGATCTGGGAGTCAAACTTGGAGTTTCTCTCCAGAGGCTTCACTTTCTGTCATCATGGAGCAATGCTGTGGAGCCACTTTAGTGGTATGATACCATTTCTGGAACTAGTTAGTGTTCTGTGGTTGTTATTTCATTTAATCATCACCCATCTTTATGAGTAGGGCAATTATTACCACCCTATAGACTCAGGGTGGTTGAGTTTGTAAAACTGTAACTCAAAAACATTTAGTTAATTATTGGCATACTATTTATTTGCACACAAGGTATATCAAGCAATGGACAGATCTCACTCAACAAAATATTTTTAAAAGATGATTTTATATAATAGAAATAGGAGAAAAAGCCTACAAACTGTCTAGGAATAGGATGTTGTGTTTGCACATTATTTTTAGTGGAAAAGAGTTTAGTATGGATAGTCTCTTCTTATATAAACCAAGAACTTTAAAATAAAACATTAGTGATTCTCTAGAAGCAATTAAGATTGGCTGTGCAGCACTGTGGCTGACTATCTCTATGTAATATTTTCCTCTGACAATCAACATTTCCAAGGCCAAGCGCGGTGGCTCCTGCCTGTAATCCCAGCACTTCGGGAGCCCGAGGCGGGCGGATCACGAGATCAGGAGTTTGAAACCAGCCTGACCAACATGATGAAACCATGTCTCTAATAAAAATGCAAAAATAGCTGGGCATGATGGTTCATAATTCCTCACCTGTAATCCCAGCTACTGGAGAGGCTGAGGCAGAGGAATCACTTAAACCCAGGAAGCAGTGAGCTGAGATCTTGCCACTGTACTCCAGCCTGGGTGACAGAGCAAGACTCCATCTCAAAAACAAAAACAAAAAACCTCCATTTAAATAGGCCATGTCTTTACCATTTCTGGCACCATAGTTTTTCAACTCCCACATTTGGGGTAAAAATATCTCATAAAGGAGTGAGTTTAACCATGTGAGTTATAGTCTTTTTTTTTTTTTTGGACAATGGCTTTGTAACAACACTTAATCATTTGCATATTAGAGAAGCAGAGAAATAGGACCAAAAAAAAAAAGTTATGAGGGTAATTACAAATATAAGAATTCCTTGAAATCTACATTGTCTCCAAGAACTTAATTGGCTTGCTTTACACTTAGATGAATAAATCTCAAGGATCACTTTGGTCAGCTTTAGTTAAAGAACTTCAGTTTTGATAGTTGATTATTTTCACTCAAATGTAGGTCATAGGCAGAAATAAATTACCTAGTAAACTTTCTTATTTAGGAACTTTTAATAGCAGTATAAAGGTCCTTGTTACAAACCTGGAAAAAGTTAGCATGCCAATCTCTTAATAAAATATAACTGAGATTTGTTTATTTGCTTGTTTTTTAATACTTGGGAAGGCCAGATCAAAATTTAATCATGGGAAAGACAGATATTGGAGAAAAGAAGAAATACCACAGGTAAAAGAGGAAGTTGTCTATTCCAGACCTCATCTTCATCTACAGAATTTGAAAAAAAAAACTTCCTACTTCCAGAATTCTGGAAGTCTTTTAATGAATCTCAGAGGTGTATTTTTAGTGACAGTGCATATTCCAATGGGATTCCTAATGTGTTTATACTGGGAAGCACGTATCCATCTGCTCTGAAACATAAAAGCAGTATTTGTTGTTTAAAGTACTGAAAATGGAGGTTCCAGCATTGTTATAATGTCAAAGATTAGTTATTATATTAAGATACGAATATAATATAATATGAATAAAAATTTTAAAAAGATTGATAAAACATTATTTTAGAGTGACAACCCATAGTAAATTAAATTGACTACATAAACAAACATTAACGAAATTTTTTTTTTGAGACCGAGTCTTGCTCTGTCACCAGAGTTGAGTGCAGTGGCACAATCTCGGCTCACTGCAACTTCAACCTCCGGGATTAAAGCAATTCCCCTGCCTGAGTCTCCCGAGTAGCGGGAACTGCAGTCGCACACCACCACCCTGGCTAATTTGTGGATTTCGGTAGAGATGGGGTTTCACCATGTTGGCCAGAATGGTCTACATCTCTTGACCTCCTGATCTGCCTGCCTCGGCCTACCAAAAGTGCTGGAATTATAGGCATGAGCCACCTCACCCAGCCAGTAACAACTTTATAAATAAGTAAAGGCTTTAGGTAGTCATTATCTTGAATGCTTCCTACATTTCTCCTTAGCAATAGTACTTGATACAGTCAGAGCTGTATAGATTAACCACAGCCTTTAAACAAAGCAGGCAATTGTGTTCCCTCATAGGCATGAAGAAAACAGAAGCAGTCGTCCAAAATCTGCATGGTCCTCTGGGCCCACACATATGCAGTACATACTCCGTTTACAAATATAAAGTGGCAAAAGCAAAAGTATCTTTTCTAAGGCAATCAGTCCAATTTATCACATTTCTTTCTTCTATTCTCTACCCTTATTTAAAGAACCCAAAGAGCTAATAATTTGATATTACTAAATATTAATAATGAGCTTTCGAGTCTTTTGCATAGCGATTACTGAGACCAGGCATTTGGTTTCCTTGATTTCCCTTCTGTCTCTTGTTAGTCCCAGACTTTAAAAGGAGTCCTTTTAAAGCCAAAAGTTACAACAGGGCAGCCATTTTATATTCATATAATCTTAACACAGGAATGCTGGTATGGCAGATATTGACAACTATTTGGACTCAAAAAAGAGTTTTGCAAGGTGGAAATAGGTATGCAAGCATAAAACATCAAACAGTGGATCCCATCAAAAGCCAGAAAGAAAAACACCAACTCTCTAACCCTGTGTTCTCACAGAGACTATAAACATCTTAAAATGCCAACACTCCAAAAAATGTTAATAAATAAACCAGATTTCCTGTGCTCACCACTGACTAATCACTTAATAATGTGACCAGAAAACCATCAATGAAATTCCACCGCTGTTACCAATACGCAACCAATCAGCCAAATACAATCTGAATAACAAAAACAAGAGACAAATGTGGATGATAAACTTTGAGCATGCAAAAGCCAAAGGAAAGTGAACAGAAAACTCAAAGGTTCCGGGACCGGACAAGATGTTTCCAAGACATGCATTCCTGTTGCTTCCTATTGTGTGACTCATATATATAGTGTCTTGGTCGAAAATTCAGAAATAAATGATCAAGGAGTTAATGACTTGCTTTCTGTGCACTTGTATGGAAGACAGAACAAGCAATAAAATTATTTCATCCAACAAAGGCAAAAACATAATTTATGTAAAAGAAAGGGGAGAAGGTGGGGAAAGAACTTGAAATCCACTTGAGAATACAGAATTTTGTTTGCAGATTTTGGTTCCACTGATTAGTTTGTTTGCAGGTAGGAAAAGAGGTCAGTCTGAACGGAAATAAGGCTTTAACCAGGTCCATTAGAGGCATAGAATTTAGTTGGTGAAAGACTCTGGAAATTTCATTTCTTACAGCAGTGTTAAACTATAAGGCCTTGTCTGGCACCAAACTCTGGCCTTAGTTTATTTTCCAGGTATGAAAGAAATAGCAGATTTATGATCACACAGTCCTTATGTTAAATGACTCTGTAACCTAAATTACATGATATTTATCTAAATGTTTAAAAATCTGCTGTAACATTATTTATTGTATATTCTCAATATTCTCGTTTTTGGTTTTTGTTTGTTTGTTTTTATAAGACAGAGTCTCGCTGTCACCCAAGGTAGTAGAGTGCAGTGGCCCGATCTTGGCTCACTGCAACCTCCGCCTCCCGTGTTCAAGCGATTACCCTCCCTCAGCCTCCGGAGTAGCTGGGTTTACAGGCATCCGCCATTGCGCCCGACTACTCTTTATATTTTTAGTAGAGACAGGGGTTTCACCATCTTGGGCAGGCTGCTCTCGAACTCCTAACCTCGTGATGCACCCGCTTCGGTCTCCCAAAGTGCTGGGATTACAGGCGTGAGCCACCGCGCCCGGCCCATTCTCAGCCTTTAATGGAGAAAGCCAACTTCACTTCTCCGTGCTAAAAACGTGTTCCAGACTTCAAGAAAAACAGATAGGTAAACTACTTCTAATCTTTCATCTTAAAATCTTTGCCTGGAAAAAACATGAGTAAAATGCTTAGGGAAATGTGGAATTTCCCGGCCTGCAGTTGTCTAGGAAGGGAACATCCCCTAGGAGACGCAGTGTATGGCAAGTTTAATGGCGTCTCCTCTTCATTCTCTCATTCAGCGCCTAGTCCTTACTCGCCTTCAGTTCATTGTTCAGTGAAGGCTTGTGAATTTACCTAGCACTTAAGAGTTGGCTTCTCCTAAAGCAACTTTCAATCTTTTGTGCAGGTTACAAGCCCCTTAAGATTTTAAATTTCACTCAGGCAACACACTATTTATGGCTAAGAACTGGGATTCAAATAAAATTTGGCTTGAATCTTAGATAAGCCAGTTGGATAGAATAAGATGCATGAAGCAACATCTGGCGCAGCGCTTACACCGTTATTTCTGTACTGCCTTAGTCTTATTAACAAAACTGAGACATATTAGGTTAAAAGACCTTATTACCGGGGCAGTTAGAAACCCGGGAGACGCAGCCTCAGTACGCTAAGAAGTTGTGCGTTACGAAAACAGAGGGAGTGTTCTTCCTTAGACAGTGACTGCCCAGGTTCCCACTCCGGTCCGCTATGCAAATATGGGTCTCAAACCAGCTTTCCTTCGATTGGCTAGTGTTAAAAATGACTGCGGGACACAGCCTATTGGCTAGAATCCGGTGACGAAATTGACTTTCAGGCAGCCGTTGATGCTGGCGTCGTAAACAGTTTTGACAGCTGCGTCCCAAACCTACGTGGGGCTGAGGTTTCTTCCGGGAACATGGAATACGTGTGTGATCTCTGGTCAGCAAAATGGCCGCTTGTCACCATTTTGAATTAAGGCGCAGCGAACCGATCCCAAACCTGTTCTGAACGGTTGGCTTTTTCAGGGTACAAACCCCTTTGTCCCTCAAGATGCAATGCTTCTTCCCACCCCAGGCTGCAATCGCTACCTTTTATTCTATACCACTCCAAAGCCAAATGAAATTAGCCGTCCGACCACAGCTCTCTTAAGTGATTAGGTGGGTGGCTCTTAAAAGAGCCTTTGGGGTTAGGTGTTAAGACGCTTACGTGGCAAGTTTACTTGGAGCTGGTGTACTTGGTGACGGCCTTGGTGCCCTCGGACACCGCGTGCTTGGCCAGCTCCCCGGGCAGCAGCAGGCGCACGGCCGTCTGGATCTCCCTGGAGGTGATAGTCGAGCGCTTGTTGTAATGCGCCAGGCGGGAAGCCTCGCCCGCGATGCGCTCGAAGATGTCGTTGACGAAGGAGTTCATGATGCCCATGGCCTTGGAGGAGATGCCGGTGTCGGGGTGGACCTGCTTCAGCACCTTGTACACGTACACGGAGTAGCTCTCCTTGCGGCTGCGCTTGCGCTTCTTGCCGTCCTTCTTCTGCGCCTTGGTCACCGCCTTCTTGGAGCCCTTCTTCGGGGCGGGAGCGGACTTCGCTGGCTCAGGCATCTTAAAACACCAGAAACGTGTCGAAAGCAATGAGCGGATTTCTGCTACTTATAGGGCTTTTATGCTAATGAGGGATGGAGAGAACCTCTTAGTTAATTGGAAGACAAACTGCACAGTTGTCATCCATGGGCCGAACTATGCAAATAAGGTATGAAAGTGCTGCTTTTCTATTGGCCACCTGACTGGCTATTGCTACCGGCCAATCAGAAGGTCGTATTTACTCCCCAAGAAATAGCTATAAAAGCAGCCATGTTTTACGTATTTTCGGATCTTTTTTGTTTTCGCGTGGTCCTAGGCTTCTTGTTTTGCTCCTTTTTTGTTTGTTTGTTTGATTGCCATGTCTGGACGCGGAAAGCAGGGCGGCAAAGCTCGCGCCAAAGCGAAATCTCGTTCTTCCCGGGCTGGGCTCCAGTTCCCCGTGGGCCGCGTGCACCGCCTGCTCCGCAAGGGCAACTACGCCGAGCGGGTCGGGGCCGGCGCGCCGGTCTACCTGGCGGCGGTGCTGGAGTACCTGACGGCCGAGATCCTGGAGCTGGCGGGCAACGCGGCCCGCGACAACAAGAAGACCCGCATCATCCCGCGCCACCTGCAGCTGGCCATCCGCAACGACGAGGAGCTCAACAAGCTGCTGGGCCGGGTGACAATTGCTCAGGGCGGCGTCTTGCCCAACATCCAGGCCGTGCTGCTGCCCAAGAAGACCGAGAGCCACCACAAGGCCAAGGGCAAGTGATTTCATAGGCATCTGAGCTTCCAGAAACTATCAAACCCAAAGGCTCTTTTCAGAGCCCCCCACTACTGTTTCAAAGGAAGAGCTAACCTCACTGCTTGTAGGTACTAGGAAGAGCGCTAAGGTAAGTCATTTCATCCTACCCCGGAGCCAAGTGTAGTAGTCCTGCTTTTAAGTGTTTTGGGAAACGCTGGTACTAAAGGTTGGCCTGTTTGTATGTAATAGTAGGTCAGCTGTGGATGTAATGGCAAACACTTATCATATCCTTTCTAACGAAATATTCTAGTTAGCGTTTTGTAAATTGATCGTAGTGCCTAACAGTAAGTTTATATGCAGAGATACCTTGTGGTCTAAACTTCTGATTACTTTGAAAGAAACTGAAGGTAACACTAGCGTGATGTTAACCTTGTTTGGTCCTCCGACTAGTTCCCTTTCTATGTTTCATTGCAGGCTGCAGGCAGGCTGCCTTTCGTAATTCTGTGAGGTTTCTAGGTTCTGTTCCTGCCAATGTGCAGAGTATGCCGTCAAAAACTTAACCAGAGAGTCGAAAGGTGTCCCTAATCTAGAACAACGTTTAAACACTCAACTAAATCAAGTTAGTAATATTTCAAAAGGCTCAAGCGTCTAGATTTCCAATACGGCCAGAAAAGGGGATACAGTAAGGCCTGTGGCCTTTCAATAAACCTTTTCTTCTGCTTAGGTCTGTGACTGTAGCACTTTGGGAGACCGAGGAGGGCGAATCGCCTGAGGTCAGGAGTTTGAGATCACCCTGTCCAACACAGGTGAAATCCCCGTAACTAAAAAAAAATAAAATAAAAAAATACGAAAATTAGTTGGGCGTGGTAGCACGTAACTAGTTCCAGTTACTCGGGAGGCTGAGGCAGGAGAATCGCTTGAGCCTGGGAGGCGGAGGTTGCAGTGAGCCCATATCGCGCTACTACAGTACAGCCTAGGCGACAGTGAGAGAAAGTCTCAAAAACAAAAAAGCCTCTTTGCTTCTAGGGATCTAGTCACAGCTGCTCCACCCACAGGAAATGGAGTTCTGGGACCATAGACAAATTTCTAGGGACCTGTTTTCTTGGAATCTGAGAGTCTCGCCGAGGTTTTCTTCCAGATCTTGGTTTCTGCCTTTTTTTTTTTTTTTTTTTTTTGAGATGGAGTTTTGCTCTTATTGCCTAGGGTGGAGTGTAGTGGCGCGATCTCCGCTCCCTGCAATGAAACCTCCTCCCGGGTTCAGCGATTCTCCTGCCTCAGCTTCCCGAGTACCTGTTACAGTCGTGCACCATCATCCATGGCTAATTTTTTGTATTTTTAGTAGAAATGGCCTTTCATTACGTTAGCCAGGCTTCTCGCAAGTTCAATCAATTCTCCTGTCTCAGCGTCTTGAGTAGCTAGGACTACAGGCGCATGCCACCGCGCCTGGCTAATTTTTGTTTATACTAGAGACAGGGTCTCTAACTCCTGACCTTAAGTGATCGCCCGCCTCCGCCTCCCAAAGTGCTGGGACTACAGGTGTGAGCCACTGCACCCGTCCAGTTTCTGCTGTGTTCAGAAAAAAGTGGGTAAGGCAGTTTAGGTGGGGTAAGTCTTACTTATGCCTCAGCGCCCATGTGCTCAGACTGGCCAAACAGACTCAGTCGTTTAGTCAGATGCTTCTGGAACTCCACTGAAGCGTTTTGCATGAACTTGTTTCGAGCCTCCATACCTAACTGTGTGGCAGAAGATGACGTTAATAATAATCCAAGTGGAAGCTGTTTACTGCTGATCTATTTTCCGGATACTAGCACCGGTTTGGAGCGGGTTCAGGCTTTTTCCACCCTTCCTTCCTTCTACCCCCTTTTTCCCTGCAACTACCCTGAAAGGAAAAGGTACCATCTGAGTGAAAACAAAGTGGCATAAAAGCAAAGGATCACTTTTGATGGTCACATGTTAGAATTTTCTGAGTATGTTTTACAATTAACAACGATTCTGATGGGCAGCTGGGGTAAGAATCCTCAGAATTGAGGAAGGTCTGGTTTCACAGGGCTCTTGGTCAGTCTGCTTTGAGGACTAGATTCTTCCCCTAAGCATTTCCTGTGTGTCTGAGAACTTGGATTCTTAGGTTGGAATTGCTGTATATGGGCCTTGGAATCCTTTATATTCCGAAGCCAAATTGCCTTTGATCCCACCTCCCAATAGGTGAGAAACCTTGGCCTAGGGCTTAACCTCTTCATGCCTCCGTCTCTTCCTTGTATACTTTTGCTTACTTGCAATGAAAAGAGCCTGGCTCAGTGAAGTGTAGATTCTGAAATCAAACAGGCTGCATAAAAGAGATGGCTTATTAGGCACTTAGTGTGTGCCAGGTTCATTTAATGAGCTTCCAGTGTGTTAATTCATTTAATCCAACAATTTGAGAGATAGGTTTTATTCTTATTCTGAATCTTGGGATGAGCAAACTAAAACTACTTAAAGAACTATCTTGGCCGGGTGCAGTGGCTCAAGCCTGTAATCCCAGCACTTTGGGAGGCCGAGGCGGGTGGATCACGAGGTCAAGAGATCGAGACCATCCTGGTCAACATGGTGAAAGCCCGTCTCTACTAAAAATACAAAAATTAGCAGGGCGTGGTAGCGCAGTCCCAGCTACTCAGGAGGCTGAGGCAGGAGAATTGCCTGAACCCAGGAGGTGAAGGTTGCGGTGAGCCGAGATCGTGCCATTGCACTCCAGCCTGGGTAACAAGAGCGAAACTCCATCTCAAAAAAAAAAAAAAAAAAAAAAGAACTATCTTAAGCTCGAAGGCCAGGAAAAAAGTACTTCCAACTGTTGACTATTTTATAACCAATCTCCGTAAGAGATTATTGTCAGAAAACTAGAATGAGTAGCCATACATAATGGGTAAACTGTGTCCACATGCCAGAGTGTTACCCATGGCTTCCTAATCTCTAAAGAATTTAAGGGAAGGAGGAAAGATTCAAGCGACTCTTCTGCCTCAGCCTCCTGAGCAGCTGGGACTGCGCTACCACGCCCTGCTAATTTTTGTATTTTTAGTAGAGACGGGCTTTCACCATGTAGGCCAGGCAGATCTTGATCTCTTGACCTCGTGATTTACTCCTCTCAGCCTCTCAAAGTGCTGGGATTACAGGCGTGACCCATCACGCCAGACCTTATTTATTTTTTCAAGATGGAGTCTTGCTCTGTCACACAGACTGGAGTGTAATGGTGTGATTTTCACTCATTGCAACCTCCTTTTTGCAGGTTCAAGCAATTCTCCTGTCTCAGCCTCCCAAGTAGCTAGGACTACAGGAGTGTGCCAGCATGCCTGGCTAATTTTTCTATTTATGGTAGAGAGGGTTTCTCCATATTGGCCAGGCTGGTCTCAATCTCCTGACCTCAGATTATTTGCCTGCCTCAGCCTCCTAAAGTGCTAGGATTATAGGCATGAGCTGCCCTGCCTAGCCTGATAAATCTTATTTTCAAAAGAGTAAATATAACCATTGTATCTTCAACAGAAATTGGAATATGGCATGTACATTTCAACATAAAATGAATTATCAGGTGTTGAATCCGTATAGTCATGTTGAAGAAATGTCAGAACTTCATTGGTCGTTATTATTACAGTTGTTTGAGTTGCAGTTTGGGTAAAGTAAGGGAGCCAACATGTTTGAGAATTTACAACTTGTACACATTGCCCAGAGTTGAAAGAAGAAAGTGTGTTAAACTCCAGCCTCTTTGGTATGATGTTGGGACCTAAAGTTTTGCCACATCCTTCATTGTCTTAGCCTACTTAGGCTGCCATAACAGAATACCAGGAAATGGATGGTTAAAACAATAGATTTTTTTCCCCCCCAGATCCAAGAGGCTTGGAACGCAAACTTATTTTCTTATACTTTTGGAACCTGGAAGTTTATCAAGGTGCTAACATAGTTTCTGGTGAGTTGCTGTCTTAAAACAGATGGCTACCACCTCACTATTTGCTTTCTAAAGGCCCTGTCTCCAACTAGAGTTACACTGGGGTTTGGGGTTTTAACATAGGAATTTCAGGTGACAGTTTAGTCTATAACATTCTGTCCCTCGCCTGCCAAAATGTATGTCCCTCCCATGCAAGATAAATTTATTCCATCCCTACAGCCCCCTGAAAGTCTTAACTCATTTTAGCTTCCATTCTAAAGTTAAAAGTGTTACCTAAAAATCATCTAAATCAGGTTATGGGTGATACTCAATGTGTGATTCATCTGGAGACAAATTCTTTTTCCAGTTTTGAACCTGTGAAACCAGAAACATTACATGCTTCTAAGGTATATTGGTGAAACAGGAATAGGATAGACATTCCCATTTGAAATTGGAGAAATAGGAAAGAAGGAAAGTGTAATGGGTCCTAATCAAGTCCAAAACCTGGCAAGTCAAATTCGGTTAGATTTTAAGAAAACTCCTCTTTGGCTTGAATTCCTGAGTTTCAGGCCCACTGGGGTTGCAGCATCACCTCTGGCTCTGTGGTTGGTCTACTCTATCAGCCCTGCCTGAGGTCTCATTCTTTCAGTTTGGTGGGGTCCTATCCAGGCAGCTGTCTGTGAGGGACTCTCCCACACGGTTCTGCAGGGCATCCTTTGAAACTTAGCTGGAGTCGGCCTTAACTACCTGTTTCTACCCCCACGCTACGCTATCTGTACTCTCTGAGTCTGAGATGAAAGTGGCAGCCCTGGTGGCTCGTGTTTATAATCCCAGCACTTGGGGAGGCTGAGTCCAGTGGATTACTGAAGATCAGGAGTTCTAGACTAGCCTGGCCAACATGGTGAAATCCCATCTCTACTAAAAATACAAAAATTAGCTGAGCATGATGCCAGGTGCCTGTAATCCCCCGCTACTCAGGAGGTTGAGGCAAGAGAATCGCTTGAACCTGGGAGGCAGAGGTTGCAGTGAGCTGACATTGTGCCACTGCCCAACATCCTGGGTGACAGAGTGAGGCTGCCTGGGCAACATGTCAAAACCCCATTAAACAACAACAAAAATCTTAGCCAACGTGTGGTGGTGCGTAATTGCAGTACCAGCTACTTGGGAGGATTGCTTGAGCCCAAGAGGTAGAGGTTGCAGTGAACTGAGAATGTGCCACTGTACTCTAGCATAGATGACAGAGCAAGACCCTGTCTCCAAATAATAATAATAATAATAATAATAATAATAATAATTGTTCAACCATACATCTTTAAGGAAAGCTTTCTCAATTTTTACAATATGGATAGATTGAGAAATCTAATCCAAAATCTCTAATATCTGATTGTGTTTTGCTTAAAAATTGCTTCTTCATTTAGTCTCTTTCCTCTCACATTTTACTATAAGCAATAAGGGGGACCTGAACCACACCTTCAATACTTTGCCTACACATCTCTTCTGCTAAATATTCCGTTTTATTGCTTATAATTTCTACTATCCAGTAAACACTAGAGTGTAATTCAGCCAAGTTCTTGACACATTCTAACAAGGACAGCAATTTCTGCAGTGTCCAAAATCCTGTCCCTCTTTTTGATCTAAGACCTCCCTAGAGTTGTTTAACGTTCATATTTTAACCAACATTCTATTCACATCATTATGAATCTAAGTTTCTAGGAATATGGAAGCTTTCTCTCCAGCTTGCTTCCTTTCTGAGCCTTTGCCAGAATTGACTTTAATGTCCATATTTCTGTAATAGGCCCTTCACAACTGGCTTTTTCTGTCAAGAACCTTAAACTCTTCCAGCCTTTACCAAGCATCACCAATTTCCTAAGCCACTTCCCCATTTTTAGGTATTTGCTGTTGCAGCATCCCACTCCTTGGTACTAAAATCTGTGTTAGTCAACCTGGGATGCCATAACAAAATACCACAGATTGGTGGCTTAAACCAGAGACATTTATTTTCTAACAATTCTGCAGGCTGGAAGTCTGAGATCCAACTTGCCGACATGTTCAGTTTCTGGTGAGGATGTCTTTCTGGCTTATAGATTATTTCACAGACACTGGCAGATAACCATATCCATTCTTTGTTGTATTTGCTAATAATCAGAGCTAAAAGAGGAGGGCTCTAAATTTACACTACAACAAATTGTTCTGCCATTAAGCATTCACCACAAAATGAGCAGACTGAGCTGTGCTCTAAATTTTAGAAACTTGGAGCTTGGTTCTGGTCCCTAGTCTGTTCTGTCTCATTAATGGCTTCTTCAGTAACTACAATTCCAAAGATTATATGCAGGAAACTTCCAATTTTACATCTGTAGCCTGTCCCTTTCTGAAATGCAAATGTGTGTATTTCCGTTTTTGCTTGACATCTCCATTTAGAACTCTAATAGGCTTTTCACCCTGAATACTTTGAAGACATAAGAATAAACATTATACTCCTTAAGCCTGTTATCCCTTGCAGTTCATCCGAATTCAGTAACTGACACTACCATTTACTCAAATCAACATTCTAAATGTGGCACTTGCTGCATTTCCTTCATCTCTACAAACCCAAAGTATCTGTGAGTCAGGTCACCTGCATGTTCAACACATGCAATTAAATTCATTCTCCATACTTCTTACGAAGACCTGAGGGTCCACTCAGTGACCACCTCTGGCCTCTGTTCATCTCTTCTGCTGTTCTCCTTTGCTGTTCAGCCACACTGGTTTCTTCCCACCAAGAACAGGCATTTCACAGATTGAGCTGATTCAAGACGTTTACCATCTTGGGCTCAATCTCTGAAATGCCTGTAATTTGTTGTTTCTTCTGGTGAGCTTCTTTTCACTCTCAGGTCTCAGCTCTTTTTCAGAAAAAAAGTAGACCTGAAATGGATTCAAAATCTGAGAATATGAAATAACAAATATCAGATGACTTTTCAGGAGACCCTTTGTATACCTAATATGTGTGTGTGTGTGTGTGTGTGTGTGTGTCTGTGTGTGTGTTTGGGAATGAGGGTGGGAGCGTGCTATTACTAAGCGAGAAGGACCTACCGAAATGGATCAAAAATCTGAGAATATGAAATAACAAATGTCAGATGACATTTTAGGAGAACCTTTGTATACCTAATTGTGTGCAGGGGGAACAGGGGGAGGGTGTCATTACTAAGTGAGAAGGAAACACAAAAGCCATAGAGGAAAGGACACAGACTATGTAGGCCAAAAAGTAGCTTAAGGCAAAATATATATAAAGATAGTTGTAAAAGGAGCAATAAATTCGGATAAAGGATTTCAAAAACATATATAGGGTTAATAACCTCAGTTTACAAAGAAGAACTGCAAAATGTTAGTAAAAAGGCACACGACATAATATAAAAAATGATTAAATGGTATTTTATATCATGTATTAAATTCAAATAGTCATTACAAATGAAAAACAAGCAAAACCTTCCTAGTAGTTCAAAATTATGCATATTAATACAACAAACAGATAATATTTCTTACCCATGAATAGACAACCCCTAAAGCTACTAATACTCAGGACTGTCAAGTATGAGGAAGAATTGCCATTGCCATATAATTTTTGAGAACTTTTCCTGGGAATATCTAGCAAATTTCATTAATGGACACTTGGAAAGAGAGTGTCAACAATCTAGAATAAAGGCCCCACTAGGTAAGGTTATGTGTAAGGACAGTCATGAGAGACCGCACATGGTGGATCATGCCTGTAATCCTAGCATTTTGGAAGGCTGAGGTGGGTGGATCACTTCAGTCAGGGATTTGAGACTGGCCTGGTCAACATGGCAAGACCCTGTCTCTACTAAAAATACAAAAATTAGCCAGGCACGGTGGCACATGCTTGTAATCACAGCTATTTGGGAGGCTGAGGCAAGAGAATCGCTAGAGCTCAGGAGGCAGAGGTTGCAGTGAGCCAAGATCACACCACTGCACTCCAGTCTGGGTGACAGAGTGAGACTGTCTCAAAACAAAACAAATAAAAATGAATGAGGGGAAAAAAAAACCTAATCATACATGTAAAACATTTAAATAACCATAAATAAGAATACTGTTGATATAGTGAGGCATCCATTTACACTATGGAATGTTACGCAGCTACACAAAACAATACTCGAGAGAAACAGACTCACACACAACTGGTGAGAGTAAATAGAGAATTGTATGCAAGAAAACGTATGACATTAATTAAGAAAGTTGAAACTAAGTTGGTGCAAAAGTCATTGTGGTTCTTACAATTACTTTGTGGCAAAAACTGCAATTACTTTTGCACCAACCTAATAGAATGGGGTGAGGAGAGGTTAACCTTTATAAACATCTCTGTGTGGACTGTTAAAATAACCAAATAAGTTTTTTTGTTGTTGTTTAAAATAGGTTGGTTTTTGTTTGTTTGTTTGTTTGTTTTTGAGATAGAGTTTTGCTCTTATTGCCAAAGCTGGAGTGTAATGACATGACCTCTGCTCACTGCAATCTCTGCTTCCTGGGTTCAAGCAATTCTCCTGCCTCAGCCTCCTAAGTAGCTGGGATTACAGGCACGCACCACCACACCCAGCTAATTTTATGTTTTTAGTAGCGATGGGGTTTCTTCCTGTTGGTCAGGCTAATCTTGAACTTCCGACCTCAGGTGATCCTACTGCCTTGGCTTCCCAAAGGGCTTGAGCATGAGCCTACCACACATGGCCAAATATTTATTTATTTTTTTAACTTAAAGTATAAAGAGAGACGCTTGAAAGTAAGCTTTCTCCTTTTCCCACCTCAAATTATGTTCTATTACTCATCCTGTTTAGATTTTTTAAATGCAGTTTGAAGTTTTATTTATCAGATTTTTGCTGTTTGCCTCTTTCCATTAAACTATGCTCCGTAACTAGGGATTTGGTCTATTCATTCACTGTTATGTCTCAGCATCTACCAGAGGGCCTGACATTTAGTGGAAACGCAAATATCTGGCAAAAAAAAAAAAAAACAACAAAAAACAGAGAATAGATATTTCCTAGCCCAGAAAGCTGTTTCACTGCCCAGAGTGTGAATATCTAAATTTCTATATAAAAATGTATATCTACAAATCATTGTTAATACGTTACCTACTCACCTTACCTGGCTACTAGGAACAGAGTAAGGTTTAAAATTATACCCCATTTGTTTTCGACACCCTTAACATTTCCCCAGTCTCTGCACTAACCTCTCCAGTCTTCATGTATATTGATAAGTCTAAGTTACCTAGATTGTTGTTGTTAATTCTTTTAAGGGCCTGTTCTCTACTAGATGGCATTATGCAGCACATAATTCACTTTAATATGCTCAGGGTCTAGGGTTAATAGATGTTAGCTTAAAATCATGGAAAGAAAATGGTCACACAGCTCGAGTATCAAATCTGTGCTATTTCATCCACTTAATGTTTATTTTGTGATAATGACACCTCCCAGCTTTTATGTTTTCTTTCTTTCTTTTTTTGAGACAGATTCTCACTCTGTTGCCCAGGCTGGAGGGCAGTGGCACAATCTCAGCTAACTGCAACCGTCACTTCCCAGGTTCAAGCGATTCTCCTGCCTCAGCCTCCCAAGTAGCTAGGATTACAGGTACGTGCCGCCATGCCTGGCTAGTTTTTGTGTTTTTAGACATGGTGTTTCTGACGTTGGCCAGGCTGGTCTCCACACTCGGGCCTAAAGTGATCCTCCTGCCTTGGCCTCCCAAATTGCTGGGATTACAGTACTGAGCCACTGCACTTGGCCCCAGCTTTTATATTCTAATGCTGAGATTATTCAGTGAACACTCTTATCTACTAGGATAAGTTTGTTGAAGAATCCTACCTAACCTTGTTCCCTGTGCTTTCCACATGTACCTGTACCCTGGGCCTTCACATTCTTTCCATAGATCTTCAGTAAATACAGGGGAAAAGAAAAACCGGAATGATTATGTTGGCAGCGAAACATGCTTGTGCAGAAATGGACTACTACTCACTAAGCTGCAGAGACTTAGGAGTGTATTCCTGAGTTATCTGTCATTTTAGCCATCACTAGATCTTAAATCCCAGTTGCTAAATTGAAGGGCATTATTCTTTTGAGAGCTGTGCTCCCTAATACAGTAGCCATTAGCCACATGTGACATTTTAAGTTTAAATAATTAAATCAAAAATTCAGTTTCTCAGTCTCACCACACTTAAAGTTGCTTACATCTACTGTATTGGATACGCAGACATAGAACATGTCTATCATCACAGAAAATTCTATTAAATTGCACTGGGGTTGGTACTTCTTGTGCCTCTGGGCTAATGTGTTCAAGTGCACATAACTAGCTTCCTCCAGGTAGAATCAGAGTATAACTTTGCCATATAAAATACAAGACACCCAATTATATTTGAATTTCAAACAAGCAATAAATAATTGTTTAAGTATGCTCCTGGCTACACCACCCCAGATACTACATGAAACATCCCATACTTTAAAATAACAACAACAAACAAAACTGCTGTTTATCTGAAACTCAGATTTCACTGGACATTCAGTATTTTTAATGTGCCAACCCTATTTGAAGAGCAAAATTGGAGTGTCTAGCCTGAAGGACAGGACACCACAGAGAGTTATTTGAGAAATTGAGAAGGGTTGGTACCTGTAAAGAAGCTAACTCATTATGAAGAAAAGGATCTGTCAGGTTTTCTGTATGTGTAAGGAAGGCCAGGAAGGAGGTTTTCAGATATATTTACTTTTTCTTCTCTCTTAGGTTGCAAAAGCTCATTTCAGAAAGATGCCAGGATCCTGAGTGCCTGCCAAACCTATCAATTCTAAGGAATAAGTGGATGGATGGCATTTATGTTCCTGCATCATTGATTGATTCTGCATCTGCAAATTTTTATATTACAAACATTGTACATCATGTGTGGGGGAGGGTAAGGAGGATAAAACGGAGAGAAAGAATATTATCGAGGGAAAGTTCTTTTGTGTACAAAATGTGTTTAATTTTTAAAGTAAGTATTACATCCACAGGGTTCAAACGATTTGAAATAAAAAGATGTGTAGAGAGAATCTACACCTCAACTTAGCCCAGGGGATTACTTTCTTTTTCTTGTGTATCCGCCCAGTATTCATTCCTGCTGATGTCAGTCAATAATGAACGACAGGTGTTATCTGCACGTTTTTCATTCTTGTAAGGTAGCAGACTCCATACACTAATCTGCACTAGCCCTTTTCATAACAATCTATCCTGGAGAACTTTCCCTATGAGAACATGCAGAGCTTCCATGTATTGCATCATGCAAATGCATTATATTTTATGTAACCTGTCCCCTGTTGGTAGGCACTTGATTTGTTTTAGTATTTTGCTATCAAACAATTCAGGGATTATTAACCGCGATTTACTGCAAAATTGAAATTGCTGGAATGGTGGTAAGTGAACTGAAAATTTCAGTTACTCTTGGGTTAGGCTCAAGGTTCTTCTAAAAACTATGTGAGCCGGACATTGTGGCTTCTGTAATCCCAGCATTTTCGGAGGCCAAGGTGGGTGGCTCACTTGAGGTGAGGAGCTGGAGACTACCCTGACTAACATGGTGAAACCCCTATCTCTACTAAAAATGCAAAAAATTAGCCAGGCATGGTGGCATGTGCCTGTACTCCCAGCTATTTATTTGGGAGGCTAAGGCAGGAGAGCTGCTTGAACTTGGGAGGGGGAGGTTGCAGTTAGCCAAGTTCACTGCACTCCAACCTGGATGAGACTCTGTCTCCAAAAAAAAAAAACAAACTATGACCATCATTTAGTTATGTTGAACCTCAGTTTCTTCACCTCTAAAATGAAGATCATGTGTATGAATTGTTTGGTGCTCTAAAGATCAGCACAAAGAATTTCATTTTGAGATTACATTTAATTTTAATTGTACTGTGTAATTTCTTAATTTTGAAATACTTTTATTTGTGATGTGCACAATCTTAATGTATAATATATACAATACATTGTAATGGAAGCAGATTTCACAAATTCCACTCTGGCATAAGGAAATAAGAGGTGTAATGCAAAGGGGAGAGGAAGGCATGTGTCATTTTATGCCTAGGACACCTCCCTGGTTAAATTGCCATTTCCTGCCTGCCTTGCATAGGAATTAGGAAACATCCTCCTGACCTGCCTGCCCTCTTTTGCCTTCTTTTTCATCTGCAGTCAAAGTCTGGTTTTAAGACTGTCTCTGTTACTCTTAAAAAATCTGTGTGTACTGGTGGCTGGGGACCTGTATGGTTCACTGCTGTATTCCCAGCTCCCAGCATGGTTCTGAAGGCTGGGAGCCCATGCTGAGAGCTGGAAATACAGCAGTGGATGCCTTATTGGCAAATAGTCACTCAATAAATGGCTCATGAATTCATGAGGCTCACTCTGGATAGAAATTTCAATTCTGGCCCTGAATTTTCGGGAGCTGGTGAGACAGCCACCTTAATCTCATAGGCTGAGTTGGAAGAAGGGACACCAATTTATTCTTTTTTTTTTTTTTTTTTTTTTGAGACAGAGTTTCGCTCTTGTTACCCAGGGTGGAGTGCAATGGCACGATCTCGGCTCACCGCAACCTCCGCCTCCTGGGTTCAGGCAATTCTCCTGCTTCAGCCTCCTGAGTAGCTGGGATTACAGGCACGCACCACCATGCCCAGCTAATATTTTGTATTTTTAGTAGAGACGGGGGTTTCACCATGTTGACCAGGATGGTCTCGATCTCTTGACCTCGTGATCCACCCGCCTCGGCCTCCCAAAGTGCTGGGATTACAGGCTTGAGCCACCGCGCCAATTTATTCTTAAGAAATACCTTGCCAGGTACTGTGGCTCAGGCCAGTAATGTCAGCACTTGGGGAAGCTGAGGCAGGCAGATAGCTTGACCCCAGGAGTTTGAGACCAGCCTGGACAACATGGTGTGAAACCCCATCTCTGCAAAATATGTAAAATTTAGCTCAGCGTGGTGGGGCTGCACTCTGGTCTCAGCTACTCAGGGGTTGACGTGGGAGGATTGCTTGAGCCCTGGAAGTCAAGGCTGCAGGGAGCCATGATTGCAGCAGTGCATTCCAGCTCTGGGCAATAGAGCAAGACACTGTCTCAAAAAGCAAAAAAGGCCTATACAATAAACCTATAAAAAGTGGGTTTCTTTGTGCGTACACACACACAACCCTGCATGGACATGCAATCAGGTGTTCTGGAAAAACACAGGAATCTAGAGCCAAAATACTTGCGCTTTTGTTCCAGCCCTGCCACTCACCAAGTGTCTGATGGGATTAGTTACCTGCCATGTCAGAATTTTTCTTCTGTAAAATAAGATAATAGTACCTCCCAGAGTTGTGAAGAACTATCAGATGAGATGGCACATGAGAAAACACTTTGTTCCTTGTGAAACGTGACAAAAATATTTGCAAGTTTATATAAAGACTATCATCTGTCTGTCTGTCATTTTCAAAAGTGGAAAAAGTGAACGCAGGGGAGAATGTTGGGATTTCTGGCAGAGATTCGCTAGCTTCTACCTGCAGAGATGGAAGTAATAGGGATTCTTACGCCTAAGTTCTAATGGCTTCTGGTTGCAGTTTGCCCCCATGGCTAAATGAAGCTTTTAGAAGAGTCAGCTTCATACACATGGAATGTTGAATGGTGGTGGAACGTAACTACACACCTCCCACCAAGTAAACTCCAGGTTCACGAGCAGCAGCCCCAGTTGAGAGCATGCATGTTTGTAACTCAGCTGAGGCACCTTTCCATAAACAGAGGCTTTCCAAACAGGATGCCCCCTACTCTGCCCATTCTGCTTTTGGTTCAACTTGAATTCCTACCTTCAGTGAGGACATGGAGAATTCATCCTCACTGAGTCCCTGAGCAATCTTGGCATAGGAAAGAAAAATGAGGAAGGCCCTAGGTAGACTGGCCCTGTAGGAGGAAAGAATCAATGAAGGAGCAGAGAAAGAAACTTCATTTCCTTTAGAACAGTTTCTTCATGTTGAAGATGAAGAAGAGGCTGGGGTTCTGAATTGGTTGGCAGAGAAACAAGTCTGACTTTTCCACATGCACACATCGAGTTATATTTCTGCCCTTTGCATTGTCATTTTCTCTGATCTCCAATTAAAGATCTAAGTGGCATTTTGAAGCTTTCCTTCCTTTCTACTCTGTGGCCAGTGTAACACTGGTAGTCTGAAATTGATCATAATGGCAGTATTTGTACCATGGGAACTAGCATATGGCATATCAATCAGGGTTTTTTCGTTTCGTTCCTCGAGATCCAGCAAACATATCAGCACAGCACTGCCGTAAATATTCTCTGCTTCTTCCTGGTAATGATAACCTCATCTCTGTCTCCCCACTCCCCAACTCCATCCGGCACAGGCACATGGGGTCACTCTATTGTGCTGTTTTCCTACCCAGAAGGGGCCTGTCTCAAGTGATCCCTATGCTTCTGGTCTGATTAAAGTTCCATACTCTTTCCTAGGAGCTGTACTCACTGCAGAAATATCTATATTGTTTCCCACCTCAGCTGTTTTCATGTCT